CGGCGGGAGGGGGAGCCGCTCGGAAGCGGCTCTGCTGGGGGGGGAGGTTCTGCGTTTCCGCATCCCAACCGGCTCGCCTGGGATTCCCGGCGCCCTCTGCCAAGTCATGGAGCCCGTTAGCGGAGGGAAACGCAGCCCCTTGGAGCTCGTCGGGATGCCGGGATGGAGCGCGGCCCTATGGCGCTTCCCGGCCTCACAGAGCTGCGTCTCGCTCCAGCCTCCATGGAGCCTAATGGGCTCTGTGGTATCGTCTGCCGTGAGGGAGTTGAAGGGCACCGGGAGAAAGGTCCTCCGGGCTTCCCTGCTCCTGCAGGGGCTTCCGCAGGGATCCTTAGGGCAACCGCACATCCCACGCAGTGTCCTCGGCCACTGCAGGTGTCCTGGCCCTTCAGGATGCCCATCAGGGCATGTGACCAGCCTCCATGGAGCCTAATGGGCTCTGTGGTATCGTCTGCCGTGAGGGAGTTGAAGGGCACCGGGAGAAAGGTCCTCCGGGCTTCCCTGCTCCTGCAGGGGCTTCCGCAGGGATCCTTAGGGCAACCGCACATCCCACGCAGTGTCCTCGGCCACTGCAGGTGTCCTGGCCCTTCAGGATGCCCATCAGGGCATGTGACATCGCCAGAGACCCCCTGGAGGGCGCAGGCCCTTTTATTTTTATTATTCTTCCCCTGTACTGCAGTAGCCGCCAGGCCCCGCCGCCTCATTTCGCATTTCGCCTTTCTCTTCAGAAGCCGAGCGATCCGTCATGCGGAGCCTTGTCGTGTCCGGCGCTCCCTTCTTGGGGTCAGGGCATTGCTGAGTGGCAACGACCCGTTCTGTGCTGGTCACTGCCACCTATTGCACAGCAGGCAAGTAAAATGCATCATCCCTCTTTGAGCGGCTGCTGACACAGGGGTTTGCAGCTCCTGGACAAATCCAGGAGCCAGGAATATCGAGCTTTTCCGATACAGGCTGCCTCCAAGTGATTTGAGCATTCTAGTCTTTTCTGTGTTTACACGTCTGAAAAATGGCTCGAGGATGGAGATGTCTGTCGTAGAGGGGCTAGAGGGAGATTGGGGCTACCACAGTGATGGATAGAGCAGCTGGAACTGCCAACTATAACTCCTGAATGTCTGCAGAGGAGATTTGATGCCCGTCTGTCAAGGCTTGACACTGCTTGGGCCACCAAGGCAGTATTTTGAATCTGGTGTCTGTTGGGTGACGCTGGGGAGTTCAGATGTGGCCCATGTCCCTTGTCCCTGGCAGTGGCAAAGGGTTTTGGCATGTTGAGCTGGAGAAACTGCCCTCCTGTCTTGGTGCAGCTGGAGATCCGAGCGTTTTGTGGTGCAAAACACCCAAGGCGGAAGCTGAATTGAAGGGATGCGTTAGGAAGAGCTGCTGCCTTCCATCTCCTGGGACACAGGGATGTCCTGGTGCAGCCATCGAGGTTCTGCCTCGTGCTCCATCCTCTGGAGCACGAGCTGGGCTAACAGAGCAACTTCAGGCTGACTTTCCAACAAGACTGCCCAGGAGAAAGGGGAAAGCTTTAGCGAGAGAAGACCTCCGGCCTTCTGCACTCCAGGACATATTGATTGCAACTCACTGAGTTGCCGAAAGACCCTGCAGAGGTGGACGTGCTGGATGCTCCTCCTCGCCCGAAGCCGGTGCTGTCGCTGTGCTATGGAGCTGGCAGTTGTGTGCAGTTTTCCCCTGGCCTCCCCACCCCCTCGCCAAGGCTCCACGTCCTCCCTGGCAGCTTGTCACTTCTCTGCAGATGTCTAGACGGGAGGATTCGGTGCGTGTCAGTTATGCCTAATTCATTAAAAGGAAAAAAAAAATAGCAAAGAAAAACCTAATGTGAGCTGGGGTTTCTCAGCCCTGCAGACTCAGCTCTGTGCTGGTGCTCTGTGCTGCTCTGAGGCTGGCTGAGAGGGGATTAATCTGGCTGCTTGGCAGGCATGGCACAAGCTGTGCCCTCCTGTCTGCAGCGTGGGGCTTGCGGGAGCAGAAGGCAGATCCATGGGCAGCAGGTGCTGCAGCTGATCCCTTAATGGGGACTCTGCAGGTCCTTGGGGTAAAAAGGAGAAGGGAGGAGCATGGAGGGAAGCATCTGAGGTTCGCATGCATGCTCAGAATAACCACTGGTCCCTGCAGCTCTCCAGGGCTGTGTGCTCTTGGTGCACTCGTGTCTTCTACCATATTCATCAGGAGCAGAGGGCTGCTAGGTGTCCAAGTCTTCACCCTTGGCTGCCTGAAGCTGCCAACTTCCTGCTCATCCTGTCCCTGCTGACACCGCTGAAGGCAGAGCTGGTGCCAGGAATTCCGGCTCCTTTTGCCCCCGGCCACATTAAAGTCGTATTTGAGTCAATACTTGCTCTCCTTGCCTCTCTGTAGGTGAATCTGACGGCATCTGCAGGTTCAAGCAGCTCGTTCCCTTGCTTTTGCTGTGTGGCTTGGCATCTAGCTGTGAGCAGCAGAAGAAATCCAAGGCTTCTTGCAGCACAGGATGTATTTTGGAGGATGTGAAGCTGGCTGTGCAGCCAGCAAGGGGATGGGGTTTGCCATCTCCCACTAGATCCCTTTGCTTCCTCTCGTTTCCCTCAGCACAGCGAGAGGCACACAACAAGTTTAAGGAATGACTGTACTCCCTATTTGGAGTAAGGAATGTCACCTTCTCCACGGCAGGGATTGTCCCCCAACATCTGGCCAGCTGCACAGGATGTGTCACTGTTCTCTCCTAACCTAACAGGCACAAAATCTCCATGTCAACAAAAAGCCATTTTCCGAAGTCTTCCTGGAGAAAGGGCAAGCTCTGAACCTTTCCCCGGAGGACCCTCTGTTCCTTGTTCATTACTCAGAGCATTTCCTTTCACGCTCAGCAAAATATGTTTTTTTTTAATGCAGCGAGAACAGACCTCCCTTTGGGCAGGGATCATTTGCATTAATTAACAGAGCTGTTATGCATGGCCATGCTCGGTCGCAGAGGAGCCCAACAAATGCCTTCTTTTTTTTTTTTTTTTTTTTTTTTTTTTTTGCCATAACCTAGGAGTTATAATAAATCAGCCGCCGCATCCCCGATAGCTGATCGGATGCAGCAGCATCGCAGTAACCTTGAGCCTCCTGTGCCCTCCGTGTCTCTCCGCTCGCTGCCGAGGCCGCTCAGTTCCGTGGTATCCAGCACAGTGAGATCAATCCCGTTGTCTCCTACTTATCTTGTCCTGCATCGCCCCAGTTACAGCCTGCTGAGCCCGGAGCTCCATCCCTTGCTCAGGAGGGCGGCGGGAGCACTCTGAATTCGAGCTCGGCATGACTAAAATGCTGATGGGGACAAGTATGCCCAGTAGCATATTAAAAAGGTAAAAGAGCTCCACGAGGCCAGGAAAACCCTCGGGCTTGCAGCTAGGGATGGGGATGAAGGAGGGCAAGCAGAGCCCGTTCTCAGGCACTGAACCAGGCCTGGGAATTGAGCTCTCAAGCCCAGGTAGAGATGCTAATAGTTATAAACAACCTCCATGCAGGCACCTCTCACATAACGCTGTCTGCAGATGTTAATTAATGTAATTAACATGTCTAGGGTGCCCTAGGAATGCTGCAACTTTCTGACAAGCTGAGGGAGAAGATCAGCCACCTCGTGGCATCTTCCTCCTTTTGAGGGCACAGCAATTTCCCACTTTTCTTGCTGGAAAACCTCGGCAGCCTTCGCTCCTGTTAGGTACCGTGAGCCTTCCCCGCTGAGGAATCTCGCATGACTCGTGACGATGCAAACAGGAGAGGGCATTGCAGGCCTCTCTCCCGCTTGGGAAAGCTGTTTATTCATCTTTCTCCCTCCCCCTGACTCCCCTAGGTGCTACAAGTGCTATTTAAAAATGAATAGATGTCTGCAATCACACTGGGCTCCTATTTATAGGCTGAGCCCGGCTGGCACCGTGTAGGTGTTGAGGAACACGGGGATTCTCCCACCGCAGGGATGCGGGGGCCTCAAGTGCTGCACGCGGCCTCGGTTTTATTTTTTTTCTTTTTTTCTTTTATTTTTTCTTTCTTTATTTTATTTTCTTTAGGCTGCCTCTTTTTCCTGCTCCCTCCCCTTCCTCCTCCTGCTGCTGGCTCATTTTCTCCTCACTCCCCCACTTTCCTCTGGGTGCTGCTGCCAGCCAGGGTGCCAAACGCCCCAAAACACAGCGAGCAGCTGAGACACATGTGGCATGGAAAGAGAAAGCATCTTTGCACCTTGTTTAGGCAATTGTGTTTTTTCTTTTATTTTTTTTCCTGCAAGTTGGTCTGTTTTATGCTCCTGTCCCCATCCCTGGACTCTCAGTGTGGAAGGGTTTTGTGGCTGTGTGTTTCTGTGTTTCTTTCTGCCCATTAATGTTCAGAAAGAGGCCTGAAAGGTCCAGTGGCGTGGACAGTGAAGTGCCAGGTCTGCAGAGATCCCTGCTGGGGCTGTCCAGCCCTGCTAGGGTTGCCTGACCTATGTGGGTGCCGAGAAGGCGACAAGTGTATTACAGATCCTCTGGTATCTTCTTGGAGCTGGAAGAGAACAGCCAACCCTCGAAAAAAACACTCTTGCCTCTTTGAGGATAGGATTCCCTGGTTATTTTTTTGCTGATTTTTTTGGGTTGTCATATTTGCTGGCCCGAGTGGTTTCTTTAGGCTGCGTTTGGTCGGGGCCCCTGTGGTGATACCACTAAGATGCCCAACGTTAGCGCGACTTGGAGAAGGTGCAAGCCCAAGGGGAGACGTGTGAGCTCGAGGGGAGACCCTCACACGTCTCCCCGTGGGGTTGAGCTCTTTCCCCACGTCTCCCCTTGGAGCTCAGCTCTTTCCTACCTACTTAACGCTCTGTTTTCCCCCCGTATCAGTGACGCAGAGAGGGCAGAGCCCCCCGCCTGCCCAGGGCCATGGAAGGTGGCGTGCAGCTCCTCAACCGCGACGGCCACAGCGTGTCCCACAACTCCAAGAGGCACTACCACGACGCCTTCGTGTGCATGAACCGCATGCGGCAGCGCGGGCTGCTCTGCGACATCGTGCTCCACGTGGGGCCCAAGGAGATCAAGGCCCACAAGGTGGTGCTGGCCTCGTGCAGCCCCTACCCAGGGCCATGGAAGGTGGCGTGCAGCTCCTCAACCGCGACGGCCACAGCGTGTCCCACAACTCCAAGAGGCACTACCACGACGCCTTCGTGTGCATGAACCGCATGCGGCAGCGCGGGCTGCTCTGCGACATCGTGCTCCACGTGGGGCCCAAGGAGATCAAGGCCCACAAGGTGGTGCTGGCCTCGTGCAGCCCCTACTTCCACGCCATGTTCACAAGCAAGTAGCGTCCTCTCTTCCCCATCACCGGGGTATTCCCGCTCTTAAACCCTCTCTTCCCTGCAAACTTTCCCTCTCCCCCCATTCCTACCGCCCTTCCCTATGGAATATCGTGCCTGTCTGCGGAAGTGTGGAAACGTTCCGCGCGTGCGGCCCTTCCATGAAGCCCTTTGCTCGTGACCCCCTGCACAGGTATCTCGATGTCCGTCCTGCCGACACGGAGCCCGTTCCCTAGAGCTCCCTGCCGCTGCTCCTTGCTGTGGGACACCTTCCTCGGCCGGGCCCTGGAGGAGGATGTGGCCTGTCCCATGCACAGCTGAGGCTTCCTGCGGGTGAGCGCTCCTGCTGCGGGGCTTCCTTCATGTCTTGTATCTGTGTTGTCCCAGATGAGATGAGTGAGAGCCGCCAGACCCATGTGACGCTGCACGATATTGACCCACAGGCTTTGGAGCAGCTGGTGCAATACGCTTACACAGCCGAGATTGTGGTGGGCGAGGGGAATGTGCAGGTAGGAGCCCTCCCAAATCTCTCTTCTCCACAAAGCCATCCTGTACAAGGCACACAAGTCCCCTGGGGGCTCCCTCTGCGTTGGACTTCGAGCTGGCACTCTATAATGACACATGTATTCTGCAGCGGGCAGGGAGTTTATCTGCTTCCCCAATTCCTGGGACATGGCTCCTGCAAAAGCTGTGGTTGGGAACAGCTGCTCCAAGCACTCTGTGATGGCCAAGTCTGGTCCTGGGCATCTGCAGTTCTTCTGCTGTTTTCTTGGCCTTATGTGGGGGGATATGGATGTCTCTCCTAGCTCTTAAGCTTAGTCCTGTCGGAAGCGAAGAGTGTTTTGTCCTTTATGTGCTTGTTTGCATGAAGGTGCACCATGAGCCTGTTCCGCTGTTGACTTGCAGGGGGATCAAGCTGGAAGTGTTTTGGGGGTGTCCTTTTGCTCTGGAAATTCCCCTTTTCCCTGTCCTTTTCCGCTACCAGACGCTCCTTCCCGCTGCCAGCCTGCTGCAGCTCAACGGGGTGCGGGACGCTTGCTGCAAGTTCCTCCTCAGCCAGCTCGACCCGTCCAACTGCCTGGGCATCCGCGGCTTCGCCGACACGCACTCCTGCAGCGACCTCCTCAAGTCCGCGCACAAGTACGTCCTCCAGCACTTCGTGGAGGTGTCCAAGACGGAGGAGTTCATGCTGCTGCCTCTCAAACAGGTGAGGCAGCTGGTGGGGACGGAAAGGCAGGTCTTGGCACGGCTTTTCGTGCTCTGTCCTGGAAGGAGCAGTCGAGAGCCCCGGGAATCCGCATTGAGAGTGCAGAGCTTGGCAGGAAGACTACCCAGGTGCTGTCGCTTCGTTCCCTCTGTTGGATGGGGAGAAAATATGGGGAAAAATTCTGTCAGCAGAGAGCTTAATCTCCTGTGTAATAGGGATGGGAGTGTAGCAGGGAGAATTACTGCCTGCCGCATGAGCATCCTGCCCTCTCCCTAGGATCACTGGCTAAGGAGCAAGTGCCAGGGAGCTGGCAGGCTCACCTGTGTTCTGCAGGCATGTTCTGGGCATGGAGCTGTGATGTTTAATTCAAAGCTCAGCTAATGTTTCCTACTGCTTTTTGGTGCCGGAGTGGCCCCTGGCTCAGTGCTGCCTGCAGGGAGATGCACAGTGGACGCTCTGCTACTCTTCATCACCGAGTGCTCCCTTACTTAGGTGCAGGGACTTCCCCTCCTCCTTTCTGGGACAGCTTCGTGTGTGACAGAGGGAGACGGGCACTCGTCCCCACCTGCTCCACCGCTGCCCTCCTCGCCAGGTGAAGTCAGTGTGGTGGGAACAGCCAAGGCCCCTGGCTCCATCCCACGAAATACTGAAGTGAGATGCTAGTGCGTCATCCCAGGCGTCCGCCTGATCTCGCTGATGTTTATTGGAAGTGTCAGCACAGCAGCAGCTCCTGACAGAGAGGCAGGAACCACAAGCGAGCGCCCAGGGCAGAGCTGTCCCCTCAGCCAGCAGCTCCCTACCTCTGCCAGCGCTGTTGGGTTCCTCGGGCACGTGTGCGAATGTGCCCTTTGCTCCCAAGCTGTTCCAGGTGACTTTGCCCTCTCCATCTCCCTCTGCAGGTGCTGGACCTCATTTCCAGTGACAGCCTCAACGTGCCGTCGGAGGAGGAGGTGTATCGGGCTGTGCTCAGCTGGGTCAAGCACGACGTGGACAGCAGAAGGCAGCATGTCCCCAGGGTGAGCCTGCTGGGGAAGGTGGCCTCGTTCCACCCCACCAGCTCGCACTGTCTGCTCTGGGTGGATACAGGGCCGGAGGAAGGGACAGCTGGTCCCTGCCATGTCACATCTAGTCCCCGTGGGTGGTGGCACTGCTAGGCTGAGGGCTCCTGGCTGTGCAGAGATCCTAAGGCCGAATTGCTGCTGGATGTGCTGGGGTGCCCTTTGCCATCCCTGCCGAGCAGGCAGGATGACATCTTCATGCGGCCCAGCCTCAGCAGGGTCCCCAGGGCTTGTGGGGGGCCACCAAACCCTGCCAGCCCCGCTGACGGGGCACGGCCGCTCTGCCCTCAGCTCATGAAGTGCGTGCGACTCCCCTTGCTGAGCCGCGACTTCCTCATGAGCAACGTGGACACGGAGCTGCTGGTGCGGCACCACTCGGAGTGCAAGGACCTGCTCATCGAAGCCCTCAAGTACCACCTCATGCCAGAGCAGCGAGGAGTCCTCAGCAACAGCCGGACGAGGCCGCGGCGCTGCGAGGGAGCCAGCACCGTGCTCTTTGCTGTGGGTAAGGCCCTGCTCTCCCCGCTCGCTCCCTGCGCGCGCGCCGCTTCCCGGGGCCACTGGCCTGTCCTGTGCTCTGTTTGCCGTCCCCTGTGCAGGTGGGGGGAGCCTATTCGCCATCCACGGGGACTGTGAGGCTTATGACACGCGGACGGACCGGTGGCACATGGTGGCCTCCATGTCAACTCGCAGGGCCAGAGTGGGCGTTGCTGCCATTGGGAACAAGCTGTATGCCGTGGGCGGGTAAGGAGGGAGCTGGGCGCAGGTGGCCTTGGAGCAAAGCTGGGGGTGAGCATGGCAAAAGGCCTCTCTGGTAGCAGACAGGGACAACAGAATCACCCTTATGGAGAGACCAGATGTCCCTGAGCTCCTAAAGCAGAAGGAGCAGCAGCTGGTCCCTGCCCCAGCTGCTCAACGCGATGGGTTGGTGGCTCTGGTGGGGGCTGCATCCTAGACACCCTCTACTTCCCCATTTGCCCCAGTTTTTTTTGCAGGCTGTTAAGAGCCTGCTGATGCCCAGCCCACCTCTGATGCAGTGTGCAGGGCCCTCTGAGACCTGCTTTCTTTGCAGGCCAGCAGGAAAGCTCACCTAAGGGCTCTGCATGGGCTGCGTGTGCCTCGGGGCACCTAGCCTAGAAGGGACTGGGCTCAGGGGACAGTGGTATTGACCCAAGCCAGGCTGTGCCCGCCTGGCCCTTGGCCCTTTCTTAGGCGCTGAGACCAGCTCACAGCCTCACAGCAATCCAAACTCCTCAGCTTTTACAGGTTTTCCCTTTTTTTTTTTTTTTTTTTTTTTTTTTTTTACCCTCTGCAGATATGATGGGACATCGGACTTGGCCACAGTGGAGTCCTACGACCCTGTCACCAACTCCTGGCAGCCCGAGGTCTCCATGGGCACCAGGAGGAGCTGCCTGGGCGTAGCAGCACTTCACGGGCTCCTCTATGCAGCTGGCGGATACGACGGAGCCTCGTGTCTGAACAGGTAGGGGATGGCCTTGCTACACGTTCCCCTACTGCTCTTAAATTCACTTTACTGGGTGCCTGGGGGGTCCATGAGACCCGCTGCTGGCTGAGGGACCAACCCCAGGACAGACTTATTGCAATCCGGCTCTCTGTTTTCCCCATCCTAGGCAGGATCGCAGTGTCTTTAGCCTAGGCAAAGGGGAAAATAATATTTTGCAGACATCTGTCACAATAAAACACGGCACTCGCTTGTTCCTTCCTGATTTCCCTGTCTGAAGCAGCTTCCTTTGGAGTTGCCCATGAGGACCTGCATCAAAAGCTTTGGCTTGTGCTTTGTTAATGTCACGCTGTGTTTCCCTCTGTCCCTTCCTGCTGCAGTGCAGAGCGATATGACCCTCTCACGGGCACTTGGACGTCCATCGCTGCCATGAGCACCAGGAGACGATACGTCCGTGTGGCCACACTAGGTGGGTGATGGCACGAGGGACCTGACTGACTTCTGTGCTGACCATCTCTTGCATTTCTAATGGTGCCTTTGGATGTTTTTCTGTTCTAGTTCTTGCCCCTTTCTCATCAGATGCCCCAGCTTAGGTCCAGGTAGCCCAACCATCCCTCTGCCATGTCCTGACCTATTCTCTGCCCTTGCCTTCCTCCTAGAATTCCCTAACTGTTAATTTCATCATGTTCTGGAGGCAATTCCCCAAGGGATCCAATGCCCTCTTCCCCACTTTTTCCTCAGCTGCTCTGTGCTCCTTTCTACATTGGAGCAAGAGTGCTGGCTGGGGATAATGCCCCATCCCTGAAAGGGAAGAGAAAACCTTGTTACCCCTCTGTTGTGAAAGGGGTAAACCAAGTAGTTGTGCAGAGTCAAAACCGCCTGCATACCACAACATTAAGTGCAATGCTGGGATGTCTCCTGACCCTGCCAGCTGAATTCTGGCCTTGAGGAGGATACAGTGTGAGAACTGGCCACCTCATTGTCCAGTGCAGATGTGGGTTGACGTAAGTACCTCTCCCCACCTGAAGCTGGAGATCTGTGGGGTGCCAGAGCAGGACACTGCTTCCCCCATCCCATGCCTGGGGACACTGTGTGGTGCTTCCCCCTGCCCTGCTCTGATTTCAGCTCAGTGCTGATGCAGAGGCCCCTTCTCCTTCATCACCAGCTCAGCCTCTCTACCTACCATGTCCCTTGTCACCTTCCCTTGCTTCTCCTGCGCCATAGTTGAGCCAGTACCGCGTGGGAGCCATGCAGGAGCTGGGGGAGGCTGTGTGGGCTTAGGAGCTGTGCTTGATGCATAACTGTGATGTGATTGCCTTTGCAGATGGCAACCTCTATGCTGTTGGGGGCTACGACAGCTCATCCCACTTAGCCACGGTAGAAAAGTACGAGCCCCAGGTAAATGCAAAATAAAAGTGTGCCAACTAAGCCTTCTTCCTTGTCCCCATCTGGTGGGTGCCTGAACGGGTCTTGTAGAAAGCAGAGAGCCACACCAGGGTGCTGCAGAGATCAAAGAGAATCTCTTAAAGGTTCTCTGTGAGCTCTAAAGTCACAGCCATGGCTTGCAGAGATCTGCAGTAGCTCCAGCTCTGCTGCAGGACCAGGCTGGAGGTCTCCATGCAGGAGTTCTGCAAGCTGCAGCAGTGCTTTCCTGAGCCTGTCGGCAGAGGTCTCTTCTGGAGCAGCAGTTCTTCCCGTGGGAGTTTTCTTTTTCACCTGCAAACTCTGATTTTGGTTTAGTTGAAAGTGATTTTGGAACCACAGAAATGAGGGAGTCCCAGAATTCTACATTCTGCGGCCCCAAAGGCATTTCTGGAAGTGGGAAGAAAAATTTGTCCTGTGGGAATTTGTGACTGGCAGGACTTGGTGTGCACGCCTGTGCCTTAGCAGCAGAATCCTCCTCTCTCTGTCATTTATGACATTGTCATCTCTCACATTTTGTATTTTTGGGGGGATAAGAGAAGGCTTGCACCTTCCAGGGGCAGGATGCTGTTGCCTGACTGAAGCCGAGCTGGAAAGCCAAGTTGTGTTTGTGGCTGAGCAGCCAGATGTGCTGCAAGCCATTTAGCTGATGCTCTAATCTGCACTAGCAATTAGATGCTTCTGCTAATAGCAGCACTTGTCTAAGGTTGCTCCTGCCTTGCCTAATGCCCCTGATCCTTTGTATGGAGAAAAGGAACTGCGATCTCAATAAAAACCTTTTTGGGGAGGACTGCTGTGCCAGGAGCTGCTAGATCAGGCTTGTCCTCACAGGACTCGCTTGGCAGGGTCCTGCTCTTGCTCACAAAGTGACCGTGCTCCTTCCCAGGTCAACACCTGGACACCCATCGCCAACATGCTCAGCCGCCGGAGCAGCGCGGGGGTGGCCGTGCTGGAGGGGATGCTCTACGTGGCCGGTGGCAACGATGGCACCAGCTGCCTTAACTCCGTCGAGCGCTACAACCCCAAAAGCAACACGTGGGAGAGCGTGGCGCCCATGAATATCCGCAGGTAAGCGACTCGATCCCAACCCTCCGGAGCTGCTGCGGAGCCTGAGCCTCTGCAGTGCCCGGAGAAGCACTGGCACATGTGCCAGGGCACGTTGGGGACGTTCTGTCTACAGAGGGATTTGTCCTCAGCACTCGCTGTGGCTGTAAGGGACCTGGCAGGATAACCGGCTGAGGCTAAGGAGATGTGTCTTGGCTGAGGGCGAATGTGTGCTTGGAAGTCCAAGGATTTGAGGCTCCTAGGGCTCGTTGTTTAGGAGTGATGCTCTTCTGGTGGAAAGGGGGGTCAGATGAGGAGACCTGACGCTGTTTTGAGCTCTGCCGCTGCCTTTTGCTCTCTGAGCCTGGGCAGTTGGGTTTCACTGGGCATTTCTGAGGCCGGGCACGTCCTTCCGAGGGGTGTCAGACTCCGGCCAGTCCATGTGGGGCCCTGAGCTGCGCCCAACCCTGCGTTTGGCCTCACGTCCCTGCGCTCTCTGCGCGGTCCTTGCAGGAGCACCCACGACCTGGTGGCCATGGACGGGTGGCTGTACGCGGTGGGCGGCAACGACGGCAGCTCCAGCCTCAACTCCATCGAGAAGTACAACCCCCGCACCAACAAGTGGGTCGCGGCCTCGTGCATGTTCACGCGCCGCAGCAGCGTCGGCGTGGCCGTGCTGGAACTGCTCAACTTCCCCCCTCCGTCTTCGCCCACCCTGTCGGTGTCCTCGACGAGTCTTTGACAAACAACCAGCTCCCGCGTTACCTCCCGGGGACAGGGGCGCCCGGCCGGGCGCCCGGTCCTGGTGCCCGCGGTGGCCGGAAAGGCGCTTCCCAAACCCGGGCCCTTCTCCCAGGCTCTCGGGATGCCCTCGGCTCATGGGACTCATCTCACCGCTCGCCCAAAAGGCCTGTGTTTTCGCTGGGGAGGGGACAACCTTGCCATTGCTGCTGCTTGGATTCCCGTCGCGCGGCCGGCGCCACGCGGACGAGCACAGGAGGTTGCTCCGGGGCGGCCCGTGGATGCCATCCCTGTCCTCAACAGGGCTGGGAATGCACAGGAGCTCCTCCGAACGTCACTGTAGCCAAACTCGTCACCGAGTCTCTCGCGCACTGTTAAAGACTCTGAGAGCCCCGCGCGGTTCTCAATGGTGTCTAATCGATGCCTTAAAATAAACGAGCAAAAGAAGCCCCGCTAGGGGATGAGGCCTGGAGGAGGCAAGGGATGGAGATAAAGCAGGATGCAACGTCCTCCGTTTCCGTAGCTGGCTGATCCCGTCTCATCCGCGCCGGTTGGGATGGGGTGAAGGACCTTGCTCACGTCCCCACCGTTGCTCTCCGAGGTCGGCGGCTCCGCTCCCTGGGTTCTGCTTCCCAGTTTGCCTGGGAACAGGTCGGCCACTTGGCTGCTTCCCTGTCTGCATCGCAGGTTCGGGAATTATGGAAAGGTCTTGGTTCTTAAAGAACAGTCCAGCCTTGAAAATGAGGGGGATTCCTGGCATTATTTGCTTTCCACATTTCTTTTTGTTTGAATGCAATTTTAAAAAATTTTATTGACTTAACAGCCATTTATTTTTTACACTCCCATGATGTCCCCTATGTCATCTGCACTTAACGCAGCAAAAGGGTACAATTATTTTTTTAATTGTCGGTGAGATAATGGTTGTGTTCTCTATGGATGTGTGGGTGTGTGTGCATATGTGAGGTACTAAATGTACAGTGAAAAGAGCATAGAAGGGACCATTTGCAATTAGCAACTTCCTGGCAATTAAGCATCCACTTTAATTAACTAAACTAAACTATTAACTAAATAAATTAGAGTTGTAATCACAAGTGCTAGACCCACCTGAGCCATGGAACCTTGTGGGTGGTGGCTTTGGATGTGTTTTTAATGCCTGTGCTATAGATGTGTGTATGAGCCTTGAACCAAGAGATACTGTCAGGTGTTCTCCACATTTTAGAGGAATGAGTCCACAGCGTTAAAATTCGGCATTGGAAATATGGGATTAGCTGAAGACCTTTTTCTAATTTATTCTTTTGTCCTTTTTCCCCTACTCCTTCCCCTTTCTTACTTACAGTGCTAAGATTTCCCTTGCAACAGTTTTTGTTGACCTAAATTTTTGAAAGTGGATAGAGTTTTTTTTCCTCTTTGTTTGGGAGGAAGGAGGGAGGCAAAAGGAGAGTTGAAGGAGAGATGCCCATCTTCGGAGCTTGTTTTTCTACAATCTCTCTCCTGGACAGATGCCCATCTTGCTTTCTAATCCCACGTGCCGTGCCTCGAGTTGGACACCTGAGATTTCCAGCAGCTTCTGCAGAATCCAGGCCGCTTTTCCCCGTTCCTCTCCAAACACACAGGCTGAAGCCTGCGGTGATCTTTATTTATTTATTTATTTGCTGGCTTCCAGAGCAGATTCTAAACCTGATTTTAGTCCCCATCTCCATGGGGAGCCCTTGACCCCGCGGCAGCGTGGCCGTGCTCCCGTTGCTGCGCGTTGCAGGGGACACCCCGTGGATGTCCAGCCTGTGCTCCAGCGAGTTGCCCCTTGGTTCGAGGCAGCTGTGACGACCCTGACGTGTCCTCTTGGTTCTCTTGGGTGCCTGCTCGCGTGCGTGAGAGACGTCCGCCCTTTCCTTCCCAGGATTTCGGTGTTCTGCTGCATCCCAATGGAGCAGTAAGTCCCAGTGCCCCTGGCTCTTGGGTCCTCGTTGCAGGAGGATCACCCTGAGTCATGGGCAGCGACTGGTCCTGGTTGCTGGGATGTGTCCTGACGTGCTGAGACCTCCATGGAAAACAAGGAGAGGGGATAAGGACAGCAGGGAGCAGCCAGAGGCCGAAGGCAGCACCGTGCAATAAGGAGGGGACAATGCAGAGGCCAGGAGGGAACCCCTAGAGAGGTGGCAGGAGCAGAGGACAAGAGCAGTGGCACTAGTTGCAATTTTAGACAACTTTAAAGCTGGTTCTGCCTCTTGGGGGAGCAGATCAGCAGCTTTGTGGTTACCCCAGGTTGAGTCCTGAGCAATATCCACCACCGAGCCTGGGGAGGAGAGACCCTCTGGGGGTCCCATGTCCCAACTATGCAGGTGCTTTCTGCTTTCCTGTGATGGGGAACAAAAAAAAAAAAAGGAAAGAAAAGGGGAAATGGATCCCCAGCAGCTTGTGGGGGTCCAGAGCACCCCAAACCACACTGTGTGGACACAAGGTGTCAGCATCTGCCCTGGGAGGACATCCCGGGGCTGGAATCGCTTCTGGTGCTGCAAACCCCTTGCCCAGGGGTGTGCGTCCGTGTGTGTCTGTGTGTGTGTCGTACCCTGTCCCAGGAGGGAGCAGAACTGTCAACTGTCTGTGGTTTCTCGGCCGGGCTGAATTAGTGGCGTCTTGCCCCAAATTCCCCTCGTGCAGTTTTCCGTGTCCCCAAGCGGGTGGTGGCTCCGGGCTGCGCGTTGTCACATCCCACCCACTGCCCTGTCCTGGGGGAGGTTCTCTTGGCCTTGCTGCTAGGCAGACCCGGTCTTCTCCATGTCAAACTGTCGGCGTTTTGATTTCTCTGTAAGTTATTTATGTAAAACTCCGTTTCTCTGAAGTTTTTGCACTACGTGGGGTTGGGGAGGGGTACAAGCAATACAAGCCAACGTGTACAATAAAGATGTTTTCCTGAATCCCGCATCCCGCCCTGCACGTCCTTCCTTTCTCGTGGCTGTGCTTCCCCATGGAGCCTCCAAGCTGAGGATGTGCGTGGGGGTCTCCCCTCTTCTCCCTGGTGTAAAACAGGGTGTTTTATGCCCAGGGAGGCTGCTGGGCTGTCACCTGGGGAAGGGACGAGCAAGACAAGGATAGCGCCGAGCCCATTTGACCATAATTTCCTGAAGATTAAAAAAAAAAGGAACAACTGCTGCCCTTTGTAGTCATTTTTGGCCTCTCTCGGGCGGCCCTGGGACATTCTTTGCTCTTGGAGCGGTGCTTCGCAGGCCTGCACAGGTAGAGCACAGCTTGGGGAGTTATCCAGCTCTAGAAACGATGGTGTTTTGGATAGGGCTTCTCCCGAGGGGAATGTCCTGCTGCTTTCCTCAGCTCTGACGGGTTAATGAATCATACGAGCCAGGAAGGGGATGGGGATGCAGAGGCTGTTTGCAGAAGTCAAGCAATGCACAATTTTTATGGCATGTCTGTTATCAGCCACCCTCTCGGGTAAGTGTTGCCTAACCCTACGTTAGCTCTTTGGGGCTATTTTGATATTTTTACTGCTATCTTGGTTATTGCACTGCGATTTTTTATTATGCAGCCATTTTTGTTGCTGCCTCTATTGCTGCTTCATCTCCAAGACATGGTAAATAAAAACAGAGTTTAAGGCCAGAGGGAACCAACAGGATCAAGTCCAATATGTCCATAAGACTTCACGTAAGAACCTCCTGGTAGGTTCAAACCTTCTAGCAAAATGGCCTTTCCTGGTTTTAAAAGTCCCCATCAGAAGAAGCCATCACAGTCCTCAGGGACAGCTGCTTTTGAGTCTCCCTGGCCAGTCACTCTGCAAGAGATTGTGGATCTGACTGTAAGATACTGTGTAGCTTTTGTTTTGCTTTTTAAAACCCTTTTTTGAAAATGCGCCTTTATCTTTGGTGGTCTTGCACTTCTTCAGTGTGTTGCTTTCTTCATCAAATATCCACAATTCCTAATTTTCTCTCTATTTATTTACTTCTTGCTTTCTCTTTTTTACCTGTTATATTTTAGGTGGATTGTTACAGTTCCCCTCTAAAAACTCAGGCTAATTCCTTCACTAAAATAAATGATCTAAACTACAGCCTTGTGAACAGCTCAGAGAATGCTTATGCCATAACTATGGAAATGATTTTCTGATGTTATTTTTTTTCTAATATATATATTTTTTTCCAGCTGAGGTGCATGGCAATTGTGGAAAAAAAAAATTGCTGCCAATGCAGTTAGTGCAGGGTCCTGCTTGCGGTTAGCAAACGTTACAGCGATGCTGTGGTCCCTACGCAGCGCTGGGCGCTCCGTGCCCTGCTCCCTGCTCCAGGGGCGGAGGCAGCGGCCAGGGAAGCCGGCCCGAAAACCGGGTTATTCCCAGCCCACACCCGCCGGAGTCACTGGAGGCGGAAGCGGGAGCGTCCGCATGACACACGCGCCAGCTCTGCGGGCTGCTCCGGGCGCTCCCGCTCGCCGGCCGGCCCCGGAGCGCCGCGATGGGCAACGTGGCCTGTGTCCCGCCGGCCCCCGGGAGGCTCCGGGGCTCCTTCGGCAGGAAGCCTTCCCTGAGGAAAGAGTAAGTAAAAACCTAAGGACGTTTGCGGGGCGCTCGCCGGCGCGCGCAGGAACGAGCCGGGAGCCTGCTCGGGAGACCCGGGAATCTCGGCTTGGATTCGCTCGGGTTCGCTGGGATTGGGCAGCACCCACCAAAATCCACTCATTGCCAATGCCGGGGAGAAATCCCACAGCCGGAGGAGTTTCCCTGCGGCACTGCCCCGGGGGAAAATGCAGTTTTTCATTCAGTTTCTTCAGTCCGTTTTGAAAGGGGAAACCTCCCTCTGCGGGACTGACAGGGCAAGATGCAGGATGCCTGAAGTTCCTTATTTTCACCGGTGATTTTTTTAAGTTTTATTCTCATCTCCTGGAGTTGTGGCACTGACTGAGCATAAAAACAAAGTCCCAGTGACTGTGGAGAAAATGGCACTCACATTCCTTGCACTTCAGGAAGAAAGCCCCAAATCCCTGTATAATACTCTTGTCTATATGAGGGGGGGTGGAACGAAGGAGATGGGAAAACCACCAAGAGGAATAAACCCAGTTTTGGGGTGTGTGTGGAGGAGAACCTCAGTAGAGAGACCCAAATCTGTCTGTTTTCCAATGGCTTTGCAGTAACCAACAGGACTGGGCTTTTTGCACCGGGACATCTGCGCCCCAGGCTGAGCTGGAGGCGCAGACAAGCCCAGCTTATCATTTGGATATGCAAAAACATGTAAAAAAAAAAGAAAAAAAGAAAAAAAAACAAGGAAAAACAAGTGCAACACAAAACCCACCGCAGTTTTCCCCCTGCTGTTTATCAGCCCTGGGATGATTGGAAAGCCCATGACCAAGTACTTAGTGTAGCTTCCCAGCTTCCTTATTTCTGGGCAGATTTTCCTATGTGTTGGGCTAGATTTGCACTCACAGGAGGGTTTGGCTTGTTTATTTTTGCATTTTTCTCTCCCCTCTGTAGGAAAGATGGCAAGAAAAAGTTGCCCAGTTTCTTTGGCACTGAAGGAGGGCAGGAGAGAGACACGACCACAGACAAAATTCTGCAGTATATTCCAGCAAAGGCAAGTACAAACGCAGCCCCTCCGAGTTATTCCCAGGGATTATTCCCCCCCATACACACCTCCCCAAGCTGGGCACAGGGAAAATGGGTCTGGATGAGGGGCTGGAGGTGATGCCTGCAGGATTCCTGGTGATGGTGGGAATACCTCACTCTCCCCGCGCTTCTTTGGGTTCGTTTTTGTTCCTGGGCAGCTGGGAAAGGAAGGGAAAATCGTAGGGAGCCTTCAAAGGTGGGTGATTCATTCCCACGCTGGGATGAGCCGGAGCCGGCGGCGCTTTAGCAACAAGCGCTGGGAAGGGGAGCAGGAAGGGCAGGTCTGTGCCGGGCACGGAGCAGCCCCGGGGCCGTTTGGCCCCTTGCCCAGCACCCCCGGGGAAGCCAAGGGGAAACGGGGAGCCCTCGTGGCACCCTTGGGAGGGCTGGGGGCAAGAAGGGAGCTTGGGGCCTGTTCCACCATCCTACATAGGTGTCTTATGGCAGAAGGGCTACGTGGGCGAGGGAGAAGGGGAAACTGAGGCAGCACATGGGGTTTGAACTCATGTTCAGCTACAGGTTCCTGCGTGGCCTGGGGAAATCCCTGATTTAGTCTTCTCATTTCCCCCTTGAAACACAGGCATACAAGGTGCATTTGCTCCCACCTCGGCCCCGTTTCCCACCTCCAGCCTCTGCAAAAAACGGAGGCGGAAGGATGTGCCAAAGGGCAAGACATCCCCCTTGCTGCTTTTATCGTGGAAAAGCAGCTTTGGGAGCCCCAGGGCAGCAGGCGAGCGAGGCTGAGCCCTTCCTGCTGCCCGGGCTGGTGATTCAGCCCGGAGTCAGCGGGGTCTGGGACTGGGGCAGCCTAATTATTAACTCGCCTTACCTGGAGGATGAGGCATCCGAGAGGGAGGAAGAACATGCCAGGACATTGCAGGAAAGCAGGGTTCCTGAGAGCCTCAGACCCAACGGGATGGCTGAGCTGGTGGGAACAGGATGGGATTGGGGTGGGAAGAGCCTTTGCTGCCCGTGCAGCCCAGCCAGGAGAGTTAACGTCTGGATAAGGACAATTCTGGAGGCACGATGAAAGCTCAGAAACGGGGGCTATTCCTGAGAGCTGCCATGGATGTTCCCAGTGCAGATATTCCCGGTAACATTTGGGAGCAAGCTGGAAGGGATGGGGCAGGAAGGAGCCCTCCCCAAGCCGTGGAAGTTGGCGGGAGCTCTTGGTTTATCCCGGGATAAGAGGCTGGTGCAGCTGTCCCTTTGGCACATGGAGGCCGATCTCTCACTGGGACACAGGCTGGCGGGATGTCACTCGATCCCTGCTACACCCTGGCAGCCCTCCCTGGGATCTTTCCTGGAAATGCTGTTTTCCACAGGAGTGTTTGACCCTTGCGGAACCACGTGCATTCCCTAGAAATACCCCCGGGCAGCAACGGCTGCAATGGAAACCCTCCCTCAGGGGGACACCCTAAATATAAGATTTGTTTTTGCATCTCCTTTTCTCCTACCCCAGAAACTCTCCCTTATTTCAAGATTTCCTAATGGGGAAATATTCCCAGGCAATTCCCAGCGATGTGCGACCCCGGTGCCATACCAGTGGGAGACTCAGGAATGAACAGCCCAGGTTGTGTCCCGGGTGCCTTTGGAGGAAAGGGACATTCCAGGACCGTCTCTTCCAGAGATGCAGGTTCCCACCTCCGACCACCTCTGATTTCCTTTTCCTGCTTTTGGTACAGAATATTCAGAACCAGGAAAACCAGAAAGAAAACTTGGACCAAAGGTTCCCCAGCCTGTTCAAGAAGGGGCGCAGGAAAACGGTCGTCAGGAACCTAGGGAAAATCATCTACTACTCCAAGGTCAAGTTTAAATTCCAGCACTGCCAGGTAAGCTGTGGAAGCTGTTTGTGGGTGTCCCTCTTCCCAGGCTTGGGGTGACCCTTCTGTCCCCGCTGTGCACAGGAATTGCCTGGTGCTCCCATTCCGAGGGGAATGGAGCCGTATTTCCATGCTTAGCAGTGGCAGATCCAGCAGCAGAAACGTTATTGTGGCCCCAGGATAAGTCACTTTTCTGTACTCAGAGCAGTCTAAGGCATCAAAATGGAGGAAAAGAAAATGCCCTGAAGTCTCCAAGGTATCTCCAAGATGTTTGTCCTTTCCGCAGGAGGTGAACGACTGCTACCTGGAGCTGTTTCAGTCCTACCTGTACTTTCAATCCATGGGCTCCAATGGACTCACCTACCAGGTAGGACATCCCCCAGGACATGCAGGGGCAGGAACATTGGGGAGTCCCACAGAAGGGCCATAAAGGGGGTGTCAGGGGGGCAGGACAGGGCTGGATAAGACGAGGAGGCTCCACTGCTGGGGCTGCCCCTGGACAAGGTCCTGCCTCTCTGGTCTCTTCCCGAGGATGCTGAGCTTGAGGTGGAAGGGACCAGAAAGGACCATTTCTCCCCAGATTCGTACCCAGGCACCATCACTGTCACCCAGGTCTTTGATGGACGTGGCAGATGATCCCAGCGGTGCCAGCCCCGCTGAAACCAGGGAGCTGCTAAACCTTCTCTGGACAGCAGCCTGGATTGGAGGCCCGAATATTTCCATTCGGAGCAATGTTGGCACCGTGAGCCGCGGCAGGCTGCCGGCGCAGTCCCTGGGCGTTCAATCCTCAGGGAACAGGGACACTAGATGCATTTTTGGGCTGCCCTCATAATAACGAGGCGGATTCTGCTTCTGCAGGGGCTGCTGCCTTTAAAAGAGCTGAACGTGTGTGAAATTGCGAATGTGAAGGGCCCCGAGGAACATGCTTTCCGGATTACAGGTTAGTGCCTCCTCGTTTGCTCTAAGCAGAGCAGAATGTTCATTAATCCCAACCGTCTTCGCTCTTCAACCCGCTCCTTGCCACCCTAGTCCTTCTGCCCCGTCATTTGCTCCATACGCACCGCGTTTGAATGAAGGGAAGGAATAAAACTCCTGAATTGCAGCAGTACCAAGCCCCAAGGTTAAAGCACAAAGTAGACGGAAGGAACTAATAAGCCAATAAAGATACAGAGCTGAGAAAGCCCTCTAAGGTAGGGAATTGCTAGGGGATTGATAGGGAATCTACGGCATGGGAAAACGAGAGTGCTCCAAACCCACATGGTAGATGGGATTAACTCTTCACTGGGCATGCAAGTGTCTTGTATTACTGTATTTCTTCACATATAGAGGTGTTTTAAAGTCTTAATTATCCGATATTCATAAGCAATGCTGGAATTACGAGATGAAAGGAGTCACTGAAGGGCAAAGTATCATGTTTATCCAGTACTTGGCATCTGAATTTCCCAGATATTACGGAGCATGTGCCAAGTATGGTTTTAATATGACATCAGTGGTAAGTTATTAGTCAAAAGAGGCATTCTGCAGCTTGCCAGAAACGATTAACGTCACTTGGACGTGTGTATAATTCTGTGTGAGGGTGTGTGAGTCTTTTCTGCTAGTGCTAAATTAGTGATAACTGGAAATACTAAAATCAACAAGGTATGGGCTTGGTCCTCTCTTCAAGGTTGCGTGTTGGAGCAGCTTTAATTTGTCATCATGTTTGAAGCAATACATAAATAATGTCATAGCAGTACTGGGCCCTGCGTATTTACTATCAAAGTGAAACTGAAAATGCCATGAAACCTTTGCACTGAGCTATCCAACTTTTGCCTAGGTCCCTTGCTGAATCCTCTTATCGTGTTCTGTCCTACTGAGTCGGAGCTGAAGCAGTGGCTTTATCACCTGGAGAAGCAGATCCAGCTAAATGGAGGAAGCCTTGGCTTGCCCTTGCTCTCCCAGGTGAGTATCTTGCTTGGCACAGGGAATGTGTGCAGCTTTTTCCCAACCTGGAAATCAGGGTGGAATAATAGCCATGGAAATTGGGCTACTTGGACGGGTGCTGCTCTGCTCCCACTCTCTGCTCTGCTTATGCAAAATCCAGAGTTTACAAAACATTTGGAAGGAGAAAACTGGTACCAGGGCCTATAAAATATATGTATGTATATATATACACACACACACATATATATATATATAAAATCAAACTCAAGAGACCTGCTTTCTTTTGCATCCTCTCCTGGGTATTTCACTTTGCTCCGTGTCTCCATCTCCCCACCTGATAGGGGAATGATCTCCTGATCAGGAATCACCTGATCACCTGATCAGGAATCCAGCTGATATTGCACAGATGATGCCAAGCACCAAGTGGTATCATTCAGTCCAGGCTGGAAAGCTGGCTTCTTTACCAATTTATTCACTCCTTACTGCTTCCTCCACGCTCGTAAACTCTGCTGGGATGATGATGGCTAAATAAAATGTTTTTTTGTGGAGACGTGTCCTGCAGTTGCTCCTTGACCGTGCTCCTGTCCCTAGAGCGCCTGGAAGGGGAGCTCCCTGGGGAAGGAGGAGCTGCGCTGGTCTGTGCAGAACAGCCCCGTGCAGGAGTGGAGAGGGACCCAGCGGGAATCCTTAGGCGATGTCCTCTGCGTTTCCAAAGTGAAGCTCCAGCATCTGCCTTTCCAGGTAGGACACTCGTTTCTGGGAACAACCTGCTGGCTCAGAAAGGGCGGTGGATTGAGCGCCAGGCTCACGGGGATCCCTCTTTCCCCAAGGAGCAGCACGACCGGCTCTTGGTCCTGTACCCCTCCACGCTGGTGATAGTGTCTGAAGAGCGCAACAGCCTCTATTTCAAGGTAAGCATTTCTGAGGCTTTTTGTAGTCAAAACCAGGCAGTTTCTGCAGTGCTGGGGCCGCTGCTCCCGCGCCGGCTTCCCCGGAGCTCCCGTTGGCACAGTCTGGTCCTCGCCGTTGCTCCCTTGCCAGCTGGCAGGTGAGCAGGCACCGGGCTGTTGCAAACCATATTCCCATGGGAAACACCTTTCCCTCCCGCAGAAGCCCCAGGGGAAGGCGCCAGCTCCCGAGGCATCTGCGGCTCCGTGCGATGGGAGCTGCTGCGCTGCTCCCAGCATGAGACGGGATCCGGAACAGCAGCGAGCCCTCCTGGGGACCTGACTTCCCAAACCTGTATTTTCTGCCCTTGTTTGCCCTTCTTTTTTTGCACTAATACACCCCAAAGAGCCGCCCAGGCTGCAGGGGTGGCATCACCGGTGCCCTATGAGGAGCCTTGGGCTGGGCTGGTGGATTAAGTCCCTCCTTTGGAAATTTTGCATCAGATTTGTGGGCTCGGCCCGGGCCGTGTTGCCTTCCCACGGTGAGGAGCTGCTCCTGGGCTAGGTGCGTTGGTGGCCCCAGCACGGGCGGGACGTGACTCACCCGCCCGTGACACTGCGGCAGGAACAGGATTTTCCAGCGGCGTGTCGGGACACGGGAACCTTCTCCCAGGGCTTCTGCAAACGCACTTCCCTTCCCCACAAGCAGCCCTACTGCCTGTCTGCGAAGGAAAACCCTGGCCCTTCTCTTCTGCTTGGGTTTTGTGCAAGCTCAGAAACTCCGAACTCCGTCTTTTGTGCAAACGTGGAAGCTCCATGGGAGCTCCCGCTGCCAAGGCCGCAGGTGGGATAGGGAGAGGAAGGCAAGGGCTAAGGCAGAGCAGGAGATCCTGGCTCAGTCTTTCCGGATGGGAAAGGCCCTGGGCAAGGAGCAGAGGAGCTGCTGGGTGCAAAAGCCAAACTGCCCGGATACCAGACAAGCAGTAGGGTCTGTATCCATAGGGATGAGCACTTGGATGTTGCTGCCAACCTGTCCTCGGCACCTGCTGCAGCTGAAGCATCGAAGTCCACTTTGGGGGAAACTGAGTCACAGAGCATTGCATTTCCCTCCCACGATCAGCCTTGCCAGGCAGCTCTGCCCATAAATCCCTTTCCTGTGCAGGGAAAATCCTGGTGCCGGAGTGTGCCCGATGGTTCCTGCAGGTCCCAGGCACCTGCTGAGCTCCTTTCCCACGTGTCACCTTGGCCACGGTCCCCAGAGCTTGTGCAAATGGGTCATTTTCAGCAAGGATGTGACAAGGGGCTTTTCCCAGGCTCTTTCTTTCACCATCCCTTGACTTAGGCAAATGCATCCTGCCTGGTTGCGCCTTACGCAAGGATCCTCCAGCTGCTCTCCCAGGGCTGATCCTGTATCGTTTATGCAATTGAAATTTGGTTTGGCGAGCCCTGAAGACAGAGGAGACCTAGATCCTCGTGCAGCTGGCAAACCCCTGTGCCCTTGTGCCAGCCTGTCCACCACAGGGAATTAAACTGTCCTCGATGACACACAAAATACATCTGGTGGCATGTGGCAAAGCAGGGTCTGGTGCTGGGCTGAGGATGGGAATGCAGGAGAGCTCTGGATGCTGCTCACTTGTCCCATGGAGCTGAGGGCAAACCTGCCACCAAGGGGAATTGGCCCTGGTACTCACCATCGGGAGCAGCTCTGCTTTTAGGAGCTGATGCCTGATAACAAGCACTTTGGCATCACTGCTCTAAATGAAACACCCTCTCCAGAGGTGGATGTGTGATGGTTTTTGGGATGTGCATGCACGGTTTGCCCTAACTCTGGTTGCTGCAGGGCTGGGGCCGGGTTCAGCCTCTCCCCAAGCTCCCGGCTAATCTGAACACATGTGCAGTGCTTGTCCAGGGCAAATCCTGCTCCAACCGCAGGAGCGACGTTCCCAACTGCTGGGCAGCACAGGAGATCCTATTACAGCAGCTGGCATTTGCAGGGCTCAGCCCTGTGTCTGTGAGACTTTGCAGGACATGGGCAATGAGGGTTCCTCTTTGCGAGGCTGGAAATCCCAATCCAGCAAATAAAGTCTTGTTCAGAACCATGTTTGCAAAAGTTTCTGGAGAGGGCAGCTGTTTATTACAGCAAACTGTTGCCCTCCGCCTCTGCTTGCCCGTGCAAGTGGTGCAAGCAGAAGACCCAGCACACACAGAGCTTGGACTGGAGCCGAAACCTCCTCGGGGGGCTGCAAAAGGATATGGGAACCCCTGGATCTGCTGTCCTAATCCTGCTTCTGTCTCCTGACAGGGTGAGCTCCCACTGAACGCTGTCCAGGTGCGTTTCGACAAGAACGAGAAAACCTCCTTTTTAATAGAAGGTGAGAGTCTGACACAGCAGCAGTCACCAATGTCCCCTGCACCTGGGCTGGTTTTGCTAGGGTGCTGGGGGCGTTTTCCTTGCATCAAAACCCAAACTTTGTGAAACAAGCTCCTTAGAAACTTCCCGAGTTTGGACCCAGGAAAAAAAGGAAGGAGGGATGGGAGAGGGGAGTTTGCAAGAGCCCTGTCCAGTCTTTGGACTCATGAGGAGAGGAAGGGGAGGGATGGAGAGAGGGTTTTCACAAGAGGTTTTTTGAATGAAACTTGGACTGCCGGGAAACCCAGAGCTCTGAGTGATGTTATTTTACAGGGCGACTGATCAATTCCATCCGGGTGATCTGCCCCAGCTATGACGATTACCAGGAGTGGCTCTACTGCCTCAAAACAGCCCAGTTCCGAAACGCCGACTCCTCCCTCTCCGGATCCGAGAGCTTCTCGGGATCGAAGCTGCTGCCCGTCGGCCCGGTAGGAACTGCTGGGGGTTCATAGGGAAGCCAGCCGAGGTCCATGAGGCTTCGGGAGGGTATCCCGGGACGCGCAGCAGCCGAGAGCTGCTTTGTGAGGGGCTGTTTTCCTCTTCCCCATGCAGTTTGCGGGCAGCGGGAGAGGGTCCCTGGCTTCCGATGGCCGCACAAACTCCTGGACGTCCGGGGGGAAAGTGGCCACCTTGACACACGTCTCGCAGCCCGGCGGCCCCCTCGCCAACGGCCCGGCCTGCGCCCTCGTGCCGGAGAGCAGGGCGCTCCAAGAGCCGCTGAGCCCCGGCTATTCCCAGCCTCTCCACGTAAGTGACCCCTGAAAGCCTGGGATGTGTTTGAGGATGGATCCCGCTTTAGAGCTCCGTCCGAGTGCTCCACACGGGATCATTCCTGGAGCAGGTGTTTATCTGTTGCTGTTGGCAAGGGAAAGGTCTGCCCAGGACTCCCTTTCCAACCCCCTGCCTGGTTCGAGGGCTGTTGCAGACAGGAAAACGGGGCTGCTCGGAGGGCAGCAAGTCCTGAAGCAAATCCCGAGGGGAAGCAACGGGCTCGGCCGGTCTCGCTCCCTTTGGGAATCGCCTCATCCTGGAGGGAGCGATTCAGTGCTCAAGTTCAGAGTGACGCCTGCGGCTGCCTTTTTTCCCTTTTTCAGTGCCTGGCACGTGCCCAGGGGCCACGCACGGGGCTGCACGCGCAGGAAATACAGAGAGGGGCAGCAGCAGGGAGCCCAAATTCAGACCCTGCAGCCGTGGGCATGGAGCAGGGGCAGCCTCCTCCAAAACCCCATCACTTATGTCTGAAAAGCAGTAGGGATTTCAGCTGCAGGGCCGTCCCCACTGCTCTCTCCCCTGGTGGGGACAAGAGCGTTGCCAGCAGCGCGTGGGATGCCACGTCCATGTCCCGCTTCTCCCTTTCAGCCGCACGGATGGAGCGTGGTGGGAAGCCAGCGCTCGGCAGCCGGCGCCTCCCTGGAGAGGGCGGCTGTTCCGCGCTCCCCGCTCTACGCAGACCCCTACGCGCCCTGCAACGTGCCCGGCTCCAGCTTTCTGGAAGAGGTATCCATGGAATTGCTGCCGGCCGCCTCCCAGCCCCGGCTCACACACTCCAGAAATTGGGCCTGAGGCCGTTCCTTCTCCCACTGTCTGTCTCAGCCAAAGACGTGGAAACAGAAGCTGCGTTTTGGGGTGGTTGCAGGGTTCTTTTATGCTTTCCTATCCTTTTCATCCATCATCCCTTGGGCTGGCCTTAGGTCCCATCCTACCACCTTCATTGTGAGGTACCTGCATCTATTTCTTCTTTCCCATTTAAGGCCTTCAGGAGTGGTATTGAGAAGAATTTGCAACATAGACATAAAACCTTGTTTTGCCTACCTTGGAGGGAATAATCTATTCAGAGCAGGGCTGGAGCAGAAGCGGGGATCAGCTGGTGGACATTCCCCAGCAGTTCGTACTGCATCTGGAGTTTATTTTCTTCAAGTTCTTGCAGTGTCATGGACAGGCGGGTCCAGCCACCCCAGGATCTTGTCACCATCCTCTCCAGAAGAAGAACTCGCAGCCTCTGCCAAGCAGCCACTGGAGAGAGGTGCCTGTGGCTCAGAGATACAGCACCCCGGGCACCTCCTGCACTCTCCACCTGGGACCTTCTGATGATGCTCCTTATTTTGCAAATGTGAGTTTGCAAATGCCATCCCGGTGCTATGGGCTATAGGGAGACACCAAGCAGCCCTGGAGCCAGGAATGTCCCTGTGCAATGATGAGATCCGGGGCCCTGCAGGGCTCTGCGCCCTTCGCTCCGCGCTGGGAGCCTCTTGGCGTGGGGGAAGCGCCACGGGCTGCTTTCCCTGCTGTGCAGCATCCCAGCACTGCGGCACGGAGCTGTCTCACACCTGCGTGTTTCCTTCCAGGTCTCTTCGCTGCGAGAGGAGCATCGGGGCACCTCATCACAGCCCCCAGGTGAGACCTTTGGGAGGAGCTGGCCGGTTTTTGCAGCAATGCCCGTGTTATGTCTCTCTCCTGCTGCATCCTGGGCTTCTGCTGCTCCGTGCCACCTTCTGCATGGTGGCGTTTGAGCTCTCAGAGCGTTTTGGTCTGTTTTTTGCCAGGGGGGAACACCTACGACCTGCCGGATCCCGGCTACGGGTACCGCGACTCCGCCGCTTACCACGACTACGCCGAGCTCCAGAGCTTCCAGAGCGACTTCAGCTACGACAACCTGTGGGATGCGGAGGGCGGGGAGCCGGGGGCACCAAGGGGCTCCCCCGCAGCGAGCCAGCAGTTCTACCAGGCCTGAGGACAGACCCGCACCCACGGACACGCAAACACCCCCGGGCTGCTCGTGCTGGGCTTACAAGGACACGCAAAGCAAAGGGAGGGCTGGACCCCGCGTCTCTACAGGTGCAAGGTTCAGGCTGCCAAATCTGAAGGTGGGTGCAAAGCAAAAACGGGGCAGCCCCAGAGAGCCCCACGTTTCTGCAGCGCTCAGGAGCCCACGAGCTGGTGCAGTAAAAGGAAGGACAGTTTCCTGCGCCCGGGTAAAAGGAATGGGGTGTCCGGACAGGTCAGCAACTCTAAGAGCAAAGAAAAGGGCTGATTGTTGACTGGGTTAGGTTGATCATTTGCCTTTTCACCATTTGGCTTTTCAGCATTTGCCGGTGATTTCAAGGAGCTGTTGATGCCCTAGGAGATGCATTAGATATAGAGCATCGTGACATATGCAATCAGTGGCAACAGCTATGCTCGTGGGTTATCTTCCTGCAGGATGAGGGTTGTATGACAGGGATGGAGAAAGAAGCCCAGGTTGGGCAGAATAGGATGTTCTTTCCCTTTTATGCAAAAAAAAAAAAAAAAAAAAAATTCCTTTTAGTGCTGGCTCCAAACCATGGTGGTGACCTGCAATATTAGCACCTGGTACCTTGACAGATGACATCCAGAAAATGCTGCCATGAAATACTCCAAGTGTCTTGTGTTTACCAAGGGCTTCCCTGGAAAGGATGCTCCAGATTCCTCTAATGGGACCGCATCCTTTTCTCCCAGCCCTCTCCATTGGATTTGCACAAAATGCTGCCTATAATAATTAGCAAGCAGGAAAGGAAAGGAATTCACTCCAAGCCAAGCTGCAGTAACACTCCAGCAGCTGCAGCAGTGCCGATGTGGGCCGCAGTCCTTCCCTTTCCCCTTGCACAGCAGCAAGAACAGGCTGCAAACAGGGGACAGAGTCTCAGCGTTATCATTTTCCAACCTCCTAGGCCAGATCCTTGAGCACATATAAGGTCACCAGCAAATCCAGATGGTTTTACCTGAGGCTTCAAATTCTTAACCTTCGTTCCCTAAATAGGCTGCAAAACAAGCGTATTAACTGAATCTCTACTTTTGTTCTTTCAGTGGTGCAAACAAAGTGATAGAGGAGGTCATTGTACTTGAATACATATATATCATATTGTACTTAGATATATATATGTATACTTTTTTTTTCCAGAAGGTTTCAAGCAAAGTTTACATGCAAGGTTTGAGTGGATTATATGTATTTAATGTGTAAATGTGGCTGAGTTAAAGATCTATTTAATTTTATAGCTGTGGATGGCAGTCGGTGCTCTAGAGCATCCGAGTGCGTGGTGTTTTTGCTGCTCTTGCTGTTCTTGTTTTGTTTCAGGTTTACTTTCATTTCGGAAAGGTCCTAGATCTTCTATTTTAACCCCCAAAGGATGTATTTGTTCGGAACAGGATTGCACTAGGGGATATCAAAGGCACAGAGTATTCTTGGGGCTGGGCACATGTGCTTCTGTGAACAGGGTAATTTTTGGACTGCTACCATCCTCTGTTTAATTGTGTTTAACAGCAATATCTGCAATATATCCAAAGGGGAAAATACCCTATTACTGGAAAAGTTTCCTGGTGGATTTCTGTGAGACTGTACAATTACAACACGCCTTCTGGAACATTTTTCTTCTCATTTTGTTTGTCGTCACCTGGTACAAAGGGGAATTTTTGTCCATTGTTGCTGTCGTTTATGCAGCACCAAATGAATGGAATAGCCCTTCTCTCCTAGAGGTTCTTGTGTCCCAGGATGCAGCAGGATTTTCCGGAGCGCTGACTGTCTCCAGTTTAGGTCATACATTTGCAAGCACCTAATCCCAGAGCAAAGTCTCCCATGCATTTGCCAGGCAATGGCCAGGAGTTTAATGCCAAAGCTGAGCAGACTTTGCTTTGCCCCTATGCTCCAAGGTCTTGGAAAGGAGCTCTGGAAAAAACAGTATGGAAAACAGGCTGCCCTTGCTGTGGAGCTGGGATGGTTTTGGGGAGCAGCAGCCCCAAGCTGCCACGTGCACTTGTGTCAATTGGTGACAGTCACACGTGTGTGCACATAGGTGCAACATCCTGATTTTTCCAAGGCCTTAGGCGCATGGTGCAGCTTCCAAGGCAATTTTAGTCCTGCCCCTGGAGCTGCAACTTTCCTTCCTGGCTCCGTCTGGGCTAAATTTGTCACCCTTTCGCACGCTGCCCTTTCCCCACGAGTCCTGCTCCTTTCTCACGCTTCCAGCGTGTCCTTGTGCGCAGCTGCCGCGGTCCGTTCGGCTCCGGTTTCAGTTCTCCCTCCAGCTCTGTGTCCCCGTCTCCGTGCTCCAGGGTTATTCCCTTGTCTCCTTGGGACTTCTGGGGCTGTGCAGCCACTTCCAGCTGCCATCCCGGCATGGAACGTAGCGTTTTGGGAGGAAAAGCAAGTTCTTACCAAACGGGCACCACGTGGGGCTTGGACTGGTGCTGTGGGCGCAGGTGGGATCCGAGTATCCCACCCCGGAGCGCTGTCATCCAGCTGATCTCCAAGGGCCTGTCCTTGCTTCGCTGGTACCCGGTGGCAATTCAGGCTGTGACATTTTTGCTGTGACAAAAACAACCACAAAGAGGTGGGGAGAGAGAGACCCGGGCCTATTGCAGTGGGATATCAGGGCCAGATGAACCACGTTTTTGAGCCTGCACCTGCCTGACTTTTTCATTTGCTTGGCAAGACAAGGAGGTCAGATGTGGTGCAAGGAAACGGCGGCGATGGCAGCGCTCCCGCTCGCCGTGCGGGAATGCCCTCCGGATCCAGGGAGATCTTCGGGAAAACTTTGCAAGCCCCGAGACACTAGGAGAGGCCAGAGCAGCTTCCCCCGTTGCTTTGCCTAGGATTAATTCATGGGCTCTTGGCACAATTATTTATTAGCTGCTTAGTCCCCAACGTGGAATTGCTGGGCTTAAGCAGCAGGGAAATTAGCTGCTCCTGTATCTGAAAAAGTGATGGAAAACATGATTTCCTCCTCTTTTTTTGTGATTTGGTTTGGGAAGAAGCACAACATTTGGAAAATTGGAACCAAGAAAAACATCAGCAGCGACTGTTCATGCTTCAACCATGACTTTGGGCTGGGAAGGGGCAGCGCCTGGTAAGACAGGAGCTGGCCACCCTCTGTCCTCCCTTTTTTGCTCAATTCCAGGTTATTTAGAGCCCCCCAGGAAAGCCCTGCACCCCAAAATTGCCCAATTCCTCCAGCTCTTCCCCCACTGCCCACCCGCCATGCCCAGGCTGCTCTATTCCCACCTGCCACTGGGAACGCAGGGAATATTTAATGGATTACAGCCGGAAAAAACACTGAAAGGGAGCAGGTGGGAGCGTTCCAGCCGCTGTCGTGCCTGTTCTTGCTCATTCAAGGTGTTGAGGGCAGCTCGGCAAATCTTCCAGGGCCCGTGGCTGCAAAGCAAACTTTGTAGACACAGAAATGTGCACAAAAGTGTTAAATGAGATACAGAATATTTATTAGAAGCTTCCAATATACTTTATCTGTTCCCCCCCGCAAAGCCCCTCATGCTGGATATACAGTTCCTACAGGCCACGTAGAGTCTTTCCAACCAGGCACGTCCGCCTCCCGTTTCCTCCTTCCCAACGTGCTCTGTCCTTGTCAGAGCTCCTTCCTGAGGAATTCCCTGTGTCCAGCCCCTCTCCCTGCTGCCGGGCAGCCCCTTTCCGTGCAGCACGGACCTTTTCCCGGGCTCTTCCCGGCAGCTCCTTCCCTTGGGATGCCTCGTTGTGATGGGTGCTCCTGGGAAGAGGCACCGCATGGCTGCTGTGCACCAGCCGAAACCCCATCCCGGCCTCCGGAGCTGCTGGGACTTCTTGGAATGAAATCCAAGCAAGCCCATGGTCACGGGAAGCCCGGACACTGTTGTCCTCCTCTTCCCTTTGGATGCTTCCCCTTTCTCAGCCCCGACACGCACAGTCGAGCTCCATCTTTCCCAGATCTTCTCTATCCTCACAGATACCCCAACACACTCGCAGGAAACTAAACACTCTCCCTGGTTCCTCTTGCTCTCCCCTCTTCTACTACCTAAATCCTCCTTTGCCACTAGGTGACTTGCAGCAGGGAGGATGGACAAGCAGCTAGGAGATAGCACAAGGGTTTGAGAAGTCCACAGAGAAAGAACAGAGCCAGCCCACACCGGGCTCCTGCTCTGTCCACGGATAAACCTCCTACCAAGTGGTAAATTAATGTCCCTGGAAGGATCCTGCTTCCTGTAACATCCAGTCCCTCTTGGAAAGGGCTCCGGAGAAGACTTGAGGTTGGGATCCAGTCTTCTAGCACTGTCCAAGAGCAAGGCCTGGAGCCTCTCCACCTTCCTCCCCGTCCTGGGGATCGTGTCACTCGTGCCTAGGTCTGGGGGTGTCCTTCTCTGAGCTGCCTCCTGAAGTAGCGGATGGCAGAGAGCGTGCCAAAAGATGCCAGGAACACTGGAAAAGAGGCCCACATTTCCAGAGTGAGCTCGGCTGCCTCTGACACAGGTTGCATGTGGCATGTCTGGTGACACTCACAGGTGGCATCATGAGGAATGAGCCCACTTGGAGGAGAAAAAGCATCTGCGGGGGGACAGCAGCCCTGGGGTGTTAAAGGCAGAGATACTCCTTACCCTGGAGTGTGCCGGGGTTCCCATCCCACTTGGACACTGTTATATTGTGGGAGAGATGGACTGCAGTGTCACCAAAGGGAGGGACATTATAACAGGGGGGTGCATTTTCCATAGGAAACAGCTACACCTGCCTGGCAGGGCACAGGTTAGTGTGGAGATGTGTATAGGAAACACCAGGAAACCCCACCAGAGCTTTCCTTCAGGAGATTCCCCTCATTTTCTGCTCTGTTTGGACCAGGAAGATGCCAAGATGGGTATCAGAACAGAACCAGAAAGGCAGAAATCCCAGAAAATCACTCATGAAGAAAACACATGGGAGAAAACACTTCTCTGAAGCTTCAGTTAAAGCCTTTAGCT